CCCCCCCCCCCCCCCATGTCTCTAGAGAGCCTCATTATGTGGTGGGATGGGCACCACCGGTGGTACTACTCTTTATGGTGGGTTCTATCTGTAGAGTTCAAAGATTTATGCGCATCAACTGCTCATAGGAGAGTATACTTCCTCAAGTCATGATGGGCAGTAGTAGGCATGAAATGGAGCATGTTAGTTTATCCTGCAGCCTGGTATGCGTTTGCGTTTCTCTGGCCTTTTATGTTTTTCGTGGATTTTGGCCATTGAGGGGTTGTGTTGCCTGTCACGAGATGACAATGGAGATGTATACCAATAACATGGGAAGCATGGGGGGGGGGAGTATGTTTTATACAGATTCCCTGAGGATGTTGCAGTGACGGCCTCTACAATCCAAGCGGCGTTGGTTATAGATACTAGTGGAACTTGCGCTGTTTGTAGGAAGGATACCTTGATTTACCACATCGAGAATTGGCAAAGTTTATTCTCAAAAGTCAACAGGTGTAAGTGTAAAATCATTTGTAAAATGAAAAATTAAACAGGCTTTCACTGTAGATAGTATTGTAAGGGGCCCATTCACACCAATTGCGGTGCGTTCCAGAGCATTAGCTGCTGGAACGCACAGCAATCGCTCACTAAACTTCCCCTTCGTTCTGGGGCAGGAGGGGGCATTGAAGTCCATGGCCTCGCCCCCCGTCCGCAGTGCTATCGGAAGCGTGGCTAAACATTGCCTGCGTTCCGTTCCAATGCGAACATGAAAAAATGCTGCTTGCTCTATTTTTTGCGTTCACAGTGGACCAGAACGTGGGCAATATTTTTCCATGCGTCCTATCGCATTGCGGGATTTTTTTTTGACAGTTGCAATGTAAAAATGAATGAGAGCTGTTCCATGTCTGGATGATGCCATGTTAGTTAAGACTTGCTTTCATTAACCCAGTACAGCAGGTGCCGGTAACTCTTGACCTCCAGCTGTGCTTTAACTACAAACTGGCTCTGGGAGTCATGCCTGTAACTCAGTCTTGCAATGCCTCATGGGACTTGTAGTTCCACAATAGCTAGGGGGCCAGAGTTGCCCACCCCTGTTATAATAAAAGTGCCAAATTTCCAGAAAGTTAGTTGTGAATCTAGCACCCAGATGAATCTAGGTTGCTTTCCCTCTACTTTGTCCATTTTTATAAAATATGTTTTATTCGGATTACTGGAGATGCGTCGAAATGGAGTTTAGAACAAAACCGAAAATAAAACATTTGTCAGGCCGAAACTAAAATGAGAAAAAGAGATTGAGGACACAGAGTCCTAAATCTTTTTCTGCAGCCCCTGCATTCAATGAACAGGAATCCTCTATACTGAGTGTTCCTGTCCATTCATAAACTGTGGAGATAGTATGAGTTACTACGTCCACAATCATGAATGAACAGGAAGTGATGTATAGCACTTCCTGTTCATAACTGGGGACACAGTAAGCATACTATGTACATTAGTTATTTACAAACACTCACTGATCAGTACTCCACCTTGACTTGCCTGTCACAAGAGGCTGAGCGGGGTGATGTGGGAGGAGAGCTCTGCCTCCTGTGACAGTTCTCGGCTCCCCGCTCTCTATTCTGACCCCATGCTTGTCACAGGAGCTGGGGGGCTACGGAAGGAGAGATTGGCCTCCAGTCACAGCTGTCTCTGTCCCACTCGGCATCCTGAAAACGTCTCCCTTCCCTGTTGGGCACCGGTCTGTGCCCCCTCGGATCCCTGCTGCCGACAGTCGGGGGAGAGCGGTGGGCATCGGAGGGGACATAGCCCCGGCTTCCAGCAGGGAGGAGAGAAGTAGTCAGGATGCACTGAATTTCAAGCTGCATTTTGGCCGCTATGGTACTTTCTGTATTTTGCCCAAAGTACCATTTTTGGCCAAAATGTTTCTGCAGATTCTTATTTACTATAGAATGCAATTTATTCTGTGATTGGACAAGGAGAGATTGTGACATTTATCTGCCATTTCCTTCCCCTTGTCCAGTCACAGTATCCTGTGAAAAGATTAGGACATGTTTTATGATTGGACAAAGCAGAGGGCTAGTGACCCGCTCTCATCAATGTGCTAAAGCTGTAACTTTCAGCACTTGCATTATTGTACGGGGTTACTAAAAGTAAACTTTTATCTCGTCACCCACGCATGGGACACCACTTATTAGAGGTCATTTATTTTTACATGGCAAATGTTCAGCTTTCATTTCTTTGTCAATGCTATCCAAGAAAAGTCTGCTCTTTTAGAGCTAGCATATGGCATCATTCAAAATTGTTCCAGTAATGAGATAAGTTGTCTATATGGAGTAGATTCCTTTGACCAGATTCTTGTATTTTCTGCCCCATCGTGGAGGTATTGGGCTAAAAATGCAGCACAAAGTAGACTCATTGAGCCGTTCTGGGGAAAATACATTTCTATCCTTGTGTAAGCGCTGAGATAAGAAAGGTAAATAGAAATTCATGCTTGTAGACACGCACATTAGTATCAGGCTGGAGGGAGGTCTCTTAGCGGACTCGTCATCTTCTAATGTATGATGGATTCACGGCCTAATGGTTAGAGGCTGTTAGATCAGGAGGAGTCCCCATTTGTCCATGTTGGTGGACTTCTTATAGGAAAGATTCCTAGTCACCGGCCCGTACGTTCAGCCTTGTTTTTCTCAGTGTATCCCAGTTTCCTGCGCTGGAGTTGGTGTTTGAGTAACAAGGTGTGTACTCGGGCTGCTGACATAGCTTGGAGGTGGACTTGTAGGGGGAAGGGTTTTTGGCTTGTGATAGAGGGGTGTGGGAGGAAGGGCCTGCTTCCTTACATTTGCTGGTATTTGCTTCCTTTCTATTTCCAAGGTTTGCCCAGATGCTGAACTTCAGGCACAAGATCTGGTGGAATCGCAGCACTGTACGCTGACCATGCAGAGGATTAGAAAATATATATTCCAGGGAAATCTGCTCTTCTGTATTAATGATGCCACATGGCTTCTGCATTCTTTGGCTAATGTCATGCCACTCATTCTTTCTGGAATTGCATGAAGACAAATGACTCTGATTAGAAGACAAGATCTGACCCTTTACAGCCTTTTGTAGGGGCGTCTGTTTGCTCTGTAGCCCTTAAACTAATGAACTGAAAATGAAAAGGAATTCAAAGCAATATCCATTTAGAAATC